TATGGGCAGGAATAGAGGCCATATCTATGCGTTCGTTATAGTTAAGTATTATGATATACCAATAATATATCGATGAACTATAATTGTAAAAGTTCGTTTTGGCAGTGTGTATCGTATCATTTTATATAGACTATTAAGTATCTAAATATTTCATGAAATAATACCATTTCATATTCATACTTAAAGTTCTAATGTTAATATTAGATTCAATTTAAACCAGTTACATTGAGCTTATAGTTTTATTTTTCCACTACAGAATTAAATATTATGTCTGATCTGAGTATAATATCTTGAATGATCAATTTTTGTTGTTTGTGTTTAGACACTTACGTGAAAACGTATCTCCGAGAAAACGACCGCTGGTTGCAGAAACGTAAGACCCGCGTGGTCCGACACAACTGCAATCCGGAATACAACCAGACACTTAGATATTCCGCGTGCGATGTGTTGGGTAGGTCACTACTGGTAATGCTTTGGGAGCGGCAAAAAGGCTTCGAGCACAACCAAGGATTGGGTGGGGCTGAAGTCACACTCGACGCTCTGAAGCTGACACAGGTCACCGAAGGATGGTATCCACTTTTCCCTATACAGAGTTTAGGTTCAGACTCCAACGACTCTCCGTGACGTCATGCCATGAAATGTCGTTTGTAATTAATATCAATTTCACGGAAGCCCACTTTCAYATCTTGGGAAATGTAATTACGTTTTAACTGTGTTCTCTTTATTTTTTTGTTTAACATAACACTATTGTGTCCTGCAATTTACATTTCGTATCTACCTATTTGGCTCCCAAAACGCATCATAGTATAGTATAATTGAATTCCTAAAATATAAGAAATAAATCATTAGTAGGTATGTAATATATTAAAGAAATTTGAGATTAATAGACCAAATTAATAAATTTGGATAAAATTAACAGTTTTATATAATACATTTTAGCTCCAAGTCCGTATAAAAGTTGATTTCAATATGGAAATTTTCAAATATTTTTTAATATGCAAAAAAAGTATTCTAGAATTTTCTTTTCAATTTCACCCAACTTTATACATATCTTAACTGAAGGGCAATCGATGTTAAAACATTGTTCAAACTACTTATATAGAAACTGTATTACAAATAATTTGAAAATGTGTTTTTTTTAAAAGAATAATGACATTGACATTTAATCAACTATTACGTGTAGAAATTATAATAATTAAATAGTCAAAATCGATAGTAGCAATTACCTAATATTTCATTATAAATTACACACTATACAAAAATAATTTTAGACATTGAGTGATATAATTTAAAAAACATAATCACGATAACCTAAATGATATTGCTGATTATTATACTTGTACCTATTTATAATCTTGGCAAATTAATACCAATTAGATATATGAATATTTAAATAAAAAGTTATCCTTTTTAAAGATAATTTTTCAATAGGTTATTATTTAAAAGTGTACAGTATAATAATAACTATTGAAATATTTAAGATTAAAAATTTAGATGTTTCCAATATATGTATACATATTATAACACACATATTAATAATACTAAATTAGAACCAATATACAATGTAAAAAAACGCAATTACATATTTATACTACTAATTGAATATATTTACTTAATAATTTGAAGTATATAATAATCTGATGGAAATACGGTTTACTTAATTTATAATTTATTTTCAATCGTCTATAGTATTTTTAATTTTCTTTCGAAAATCTATGATTTATTACGTAATAATAATATTCAAAATTGCACAAAAAAATAAATGAAATACATTTTATTTGGATACAATATAAAAATAATAACTCAATAATCTATGAGCTATTTGAACCATAATATAAATATGGGACCATTTATTAGGAACAAATGGTTAGGTTAAAGATACATTTGAATAGTTCTTTATGGTTATGATAATAATCATAATAACTACTGAACATAATAATTATAGAATCATGTTGTTTTATTTATGGTTCGTACTAGTTGTGATATGAACGTACAAGCGAAAAGAAATGTATGTTAATGGTTAATAATGATTTAATTAATTGAATAATACATTTATACATAGCAAGTGTATATTTCAGAAATCTTAAAGTTTATATATTTATACGTATTTTTACTTGTGTACTTAATTTTTTAGTTGATATTATCATTACTTCGATTATTTTTTTTTCTATTGGATTATTGTTATACTGTTATATAAGGAATTATTTACGTACTTGCGATAATTATTTTTGAAGTTATGTTTATAAACTTTTTACTGGTTGTATAACTGAACGCAATTTCGTCTTGAAAATAATCTTATTTCTATTTTAGTTTTTTAATTAAATTAACATTTGCTGTGTTCAAAATGTTTGTTTTCAATCCACAAGGAGTTATAAGGATGTTTTGCCAAAAAATATAAATGAAATTAAGTTAAGTATAAAATATTACAGCGACGAGATGTAAAATATGTCGTATATTTATTGACTGTCTAGTAAAACGATTTTATCGAGACAATCTCATATACATACGTAATTATTGTTGATATAATTTTTAGAATAATAAAATATCCACATAGGTATTGTATACAAACTATTATTGTAATGTAACTATGAAAATCACAACATTAAAATTGTATAAATCTCCGCCCTAGATTTTAAGTAAAATACGTACTTAAGTATTTTATATTATTATACATGCAATTAGAATCAATACGGTTTCCAATTCATGAACATTATAATAATATTAATATGGCGCTTTGACACGGTGACACGGCGTTTGGCCAGAAATCACATTACAAGATAATATTATAATCACTGACTTATTGAGTAAACATTGTTATTCATTAATTTTGTTTCAGTCGATCTGCTGTGTTTGACCGCCATTATAATATTAATATAATCATCAGATAACAATAATTAATACTACTCAAATATAAATTATAATATAGGTAATAATATTATTATATCCATAGCGCTCGAGTACGGTTTGGCTTTTATTGTATAAATATTTTAAGGGAAAAAATTCGTGATTCCTACTTGTTAACGCCGGTCTTAGTTCCATTTTACCAAAACTAATAATTTATATTTTTAGTTGTGTTTCGAAAGTTACCATTCGATTATATTATGTCACTGTTTTGAATATTATATTCGTTATTCAATAGTGACAATTTTTTTAATCAATATTATTTAACTTTTTTATGTTTATTATGTTTTGATATTTTGTTAAATAGATTTGTTCATATTATTGTATAATTAAATTCATGACAATCTTTATTCAAAACTATTGAATCACATGTAGGAATTTAAAAAAGTAATATATATATATATATATATCGGACCCATGATAATATAATATATTTATTTAAAAATATGTATAATAGCGTAAATTTTAGCTGTTAGAAAAAACAAATATTTATCAATTATAATAAACATGTTTAAAACAAAAATATTGTTCATGTGTTAAATGCACAATTGCCTAGCTTCTTTCCAGCTTCATAGATAAATAAAATGATGAAAAATSGTTATATATATTTTACTAATATTGTAAAAAAAATTTTATACATAAGAGGTAATTATTGAAGGGATTCTAAAACTGCATTCATTGATAAAAAGAGTTGCTATCCTTAAACAACATGCTCACATAGTAAATCATATAATTTAAATACTATATGTTAGTTCATAAGTATTTAACCTTATTTGTATTAGTGGAACTTTATGTTCATCCTTAGGACTTGCACATCCAATCTTTGGCTAAACACTGGAATTCACTCCCTACTCACTTTTCCATCTGTTATAGAAATATATCTCAAACCGTCACAACACTACCCTGATTCCACAACCTCGATCTGTCTAGGAAATCCATAATTTTGTTTCTCCCTTAATGGTTTGATCATACATGACTTCCTTCTCATTCCTTTAAACTGTCATTGAATTGTTCAATGGTCTATGATATTTGCCACTTACTTTTCATCTGTCCCAGCCTATCAACAGTCAACACATCGTGACTGACAATCTATTGTTCCTTTTGAACACCACCAGAATCCCTTTTTATGCTATAAATATATTCTCAAACAACAACAATATATCATATTAAATATATTATATTTCTTTAACCATAAACGTTTTTTAATTTAGTATTTTTTTACAGTTTTCTTAATTTCATTTTTTTTTWAAAAATTTTCTTGTAAGCAACCTCTATATCATATTAAATAATTTATTGTAATCACAAAGTGATTTTGTTTCAGTTAACGAAACTTAATTATTGTTTTTTTTATATTCATAAATCTTACATTGGTTACAAATAATTATTATTCATGACATACATCATAATCACTCTGTAATGCGGTTTGCCGTAACCTGCAAACCACTCAACTCCACTGGCCACACACATGCTCCATAAATTAGTGTAAGGTCTATGGTATGTCCGAATTGCATGCCATTCAACTTTAATAACCATATACACATTTCATACAGAAATAAATTATGAACCGAAACGGTACAGGTTGAACTAGTAAAAAGTCATTTGTATTGAACTAATCATACTTTTTATATTTTTATCGTTAAGTTCACATTATTTTACATCTAAAACACGTATTTATATAACATTTGGGTGAATACAAAAAAAAAAAAAAAAAACGGATCGTTGGTATAAATTATTATTGATATAACAATTATATAACATTACCACCGAATTTTGATTATAACACATAGATAGACTAGTAACACCATAAGTGCCATTCCTTCGTGGATGGAGAGGTGGAGAGATGAATTTCACAGTAGATCATTTCTGGAATCTAGCCCACGAGAATTATTGAAATACATAACATAATATTACAGATCACAAATGTCACTGGGGAAACAGCTGCCCACAGTACCCACTCAGCCACCCTGTCATCYACGCATACCACATATTATACGATTAGAGTAAACTATAACAGTTATAGGTATTATAATTATTACGATATCGTTAAGCTATTGTCTATAGTGTGGCTGCAAATAAGACAGTTGTGGAAAATGTAATTTTCGATTTTCATTTCGTGTGGCCATCACGAGTGGTGAGTTGKAGTGATGCGTRGATTTYGCGGCAATATCCACTTCCGTCTTATATGTAACACAATATTTTCACTGCGGACACATAAGTCCAACTACGGAATGTGCCGAGGCCAGATTGAGCATAACCTGCACGTTTCTTGTCCAAATTATTGTACTCGAAACGGAAAAAAATTACTTCTATCAAGACTCTGCAGGATAGCAGATACTCTATTTATTATTCTTTAGTTCATATTACGATTACCTGCCTATTCAGATAGTATACTGTAGTTGATGACGACTATTGTAAATTTTTACTTATTAATTGTACATCAATTTCGAACTACCGCAGAACTGTGTCAATAGGATCGTGGTATAAATAGCCACTTTAAATTAATCACTACAAATWAAATAAAATCATTTGATGTGAAATTKTATAACTTGTAAATTTATAATTTATACATTTTTATAGTAAAAATAATTATTATGCTTTATGTTGGTACAAATTTAATATAGTTTCCCGTTAATGCTTTTTTTTTTTTTAATATACTTTCCATAAAAACATGTGTACAGCCTCATCGTATTGATACATTTTACCGCCTAAAAAATGGTCAGAACATTTTCAAATTTTAATAAATACCTTCAAAATTTGATATTTTAACAACTTTGAAGTACAAAACCGTGCACAACTTACTRTTAATAGATTTTTGATAGTATGTTTGAATTCTGCGAGAATTTTCCAGATAAAATATTTTCTAAAAATAAATTGCAAAAAAAAGTAAAACTGTATTAAACGAATGCATGAAATTTTGACAGACACCTCTGAAATATGGAATCAAATCAGATGCAGTCAAATATGCATGTCCGAAATGACACGTTGAAAATATCAAAAATAATGTTAACAATTTCCACGTGTACACACACAGACGCCCATTTACACAATTCAATTTGAAAATTGTTATTGTTATCACACTAGTATACATGCGAAACGTCTATGCACCTTTAAAACAAAGATGATTTTTTCTTAAAAAAATTTGAATATTTTGTTTACAGCCATRTTTAAAACCATCCTTTCTGTTTTCATGCATATTTCTATAAAAATTATTTCGATGTTTCACGTCTGTCAGGAGACGGCTCACTTTTTTTTATTTGTAGATAACCATATAAGTTTCCATATCTCACGTTCATTGGCCATCTCCGATTCTTTAAAGCATCAAATATATGGTAACCTATATAATATTGATTATCAAATATTGTATTTGCAGTCTCATATCTCTAATAGTAAATCTGAGTGTCATCAAAATTGTGTTATGACGTTAATACTTAACAATTCCGTAGGTAGCACCTTCGTTCGGATACCTATTATTATATTATATTATATATTTACTCACCGTTGACATAACATGTTTTAAAATGTAATAATAATTACTTTAAAGTTGAAGAAGATCGAACAGAATAATTAACAACATTATATAGTATAATGAACCACTAAAATTGTAAAATATTATTCTCCGCAATATTTTCATTGAAATTGTATTTCATTAAATTTTAGACTAACACTGTAGCGCGACGGTGTGGTGAATGTATTGCTTTTGGTTATTTTACTTGTACACTAGAGAGCACTTTTTACATTGAATAATAATTATCACTCCAAMCTTATTTCATGTACTGTACTTTTTTTAGACTCATTATAATACTAATAATAGATTTTTGTGAGATATATCAAAAGAAATGTAATATACCTACTTATTACATTCTATAAGATCCAGTATATTATTGATTTTAAAAATCTGAAAATATTGTCGATTGTCAAAATCCAACAACTAAATAACAACAACAACTTTTATTTTTATAGAGCACCAGCGAAGGTATAATATTAGTTTAGGTTTAGACCTGGGCGATGAATGTATTTGATTTACAAAGAAGTGTTTTTTATTTATATAAATTGTTGTTGTGTCTATTGTCACGTTTTTTGAAAATGCTTCGGTCTTTCAAAGTTTGAGGATACTTTTTGTTAACAAWTTTGATTTAGAATAATCTAAATACAAGATACTTGAACGAGTTAATGTAAAAAACATGCCCAATAAACTTGAAAACAAAATAAAATAAATTGGGAAGAACCGAAATTTTTAAACAAAGCCAAATTTCGTCAAAATCTTATTTAATTTCTTTTTAATTATTATAAAATGAATATATGTAGAGATTTTAATCAGTATTTACTAGGCACGATATATGTTCAAAAAATAATATTGACTCTTTTTGTACTCACTTTTTACATGCATGTACCAATGTTTGATGAACGTATCTTAGAATAAATATTTCCCACAGCCGTGTGTAATAT